CCCCCCCCCCCATTTATGCTTTATTACACTTCTCCCTCAATAGAAACCAGATAACACCACACTCTCTCTAATCCACATTCTTCACTCGCATCACTCTCTTCAGATACCATAGCCTACAAACCCATTAACCTGCTTATGGCAATAAAGAAAGCTACTGGATTTGGTAACTAGAGTACTAGACCATCCTAATGCAGTTTGTTACTTTGTTTCTTGTAGAAGATTCTAGGCCCACAAGTTGGTGATGATACTTCCCGAAGAAAAGTGAGGAAAGAAGAAACAAGTCCACTGGCTCTAGAAGTTCTTTGTCAATTATAATGACCTTCTTGATTAGATAACAACAACAACAACAACAACAACAACAACAACAACCCAGTATAATTTCACTAGTGGGGTTTGGGGAGGGTAGTGCGTACATAGACCTTACCCCTACCCTGGGGTAGAGAGGCTGTTTCCGATAGACCCCCAGCTCCCTCCCTCCAAGAACTCCCACCTTGCTCTTGGGGTGACTCGAACTCACAATCTCTTGGTTGGAAATGGAGGGTGCTCACCACTAGAGCAACCCACTCTTGTCAAACAACAAAAAGTATGATTAACTCAGATATGATTAACTGATGGATATGTTAAGTTACTAAAAAGATTTTAGTGCATTGTTCGTCCATAGAGAGTGACCATAATCATGTATACTTCATTTAACATGGGTTTGCCGAGGCAATCAAAGAATCAGGGTTTAAAATTGCTTCTTCCCGTAAATCTAGAATATGCAAAAAAGAACTTGGAGTGAAAAGTCACGCAATACCAATGAAATGATAAAGTGAAAGGACAATAACAAAAGATCTTCAGTCCCAAATGCTGCCAGAAATAGAACTTTTGGCCCTTTCCTTTACTGATCATTTTGTTTATTTTAAAAAAGGTACTTTTTTGGTAATTTAAAAAAACAAATTTGGCCCTTTCCTTTACTGATCATTTTGTTTATTTTTAAAAAGGTACTTTTATTTATTAAAAAAGAAGATATATGCAATTGAATGGTTATACATCAGTGCATAACAGGCTGTTGCAACTGTAACGAAACCAATAGTAAAAACACCTATGCCACAAACCCCAAATACGAATCACGAATTTTTCAACCAACAGTACATGGTTAAAAAGCTCAGAGTACAATAAAATAGAAGGACAAAGTGAAGCATAGTAGAGAAAAAATAATCATACTGACCTTCCAAAACGAGAAGACCCCTTCTTTGATTTAAACTGGTCAATTTTATCTTCACCATACCGATCCTTTTCCCTGTAACTATCCTTAACTGAATCGCCATCACTTTTATTTCCAAAACCTCCATATCGATCGCCACTCTGAAAGTTGCTGCTGCTATTTAGGGAGGCAGAGCTCGATTTAAATGTTACTCCAGAAGATGACAATCCAAAGTACCTAAAAGGTGGCATTCCATCATGACCGTGCAACTATGCAACTAGTTACCAGGGACTCATTGAATAATCAAGAGCAAAGTCAGACCCTACAGGATTAACTTACTTGTCGCGATTTGCAGCAGCTTTATTTCTAGCGTCTTCGATCTTTTCCTTGTTATTCAATAGTGCCACAATATTTTCTGCTTTCTTCCTCACATTGATCCCCATATCTTTCCCGTTGGGTTCAACATACTCGAAACTTGTGAGAGACTTGAGTAGCAAAAGGAAAGAGGGAAAGAGGTAAGATACACGGGGAGGAGGGGAAGGACCACACTCCTTTAAGTATGACCATGGCACAACTGTCATTGGCAAGGAAATTTAACGCAATGACACAAAAATACATACAGATATCTGATAGGTATGTTCTACGATCTCATCAACAGCGCGTTCAGATCCGTGTGCCACCAAATACTCAATAACAGCCAAAGACTGGTACCAGAAGTATTTCACAACTATTAGACCTTATATAAGAAGTTGTTCGAGATGGTACAGAAATGAAACTCAAAATTTAAACAATGAACTGACTATCGGGAGCTTGATATTTTAAACTTTTCTTCAGTTCTCTACAGGTTCTTAGGTTTTTACACACTTAACTACAAAAAGTTGATACCACAAAAGGATATAGTACACACCTTATAAACATAACGCCAATTCTTTCCTGTTTCAGTCAATCTTGTCCACAGGACATTCATAACCATCTGACACTCAGAGCTGCAGGATACACCAGTAATTGATAGGTCAATGAACTTACCTTTATGATGAGAACAAATGAGAAAATCCAAATAGTTAAGAATTAGCAACTATATTGATGAGGTTGTACAATTTTTTTGTAGCCTGAGCTATCTCAGCCAATGCAGTACCATGGGGGCCCCAAGGTTCATCATCCGTAGCGTCCAATACCTATTCATGTTAAAATATTACATTATAATCAGAATATGAAGGGGAAAGGACAAAAAGAGCATAGGATGCAAATCCATAGTTTTTGAAAGTGAAAAAGCACAAATAAGAAAAAGGCCTCAATTGCTTTAGGATTGTACTACACATAGGCGGATATAGTCTTTTGGCTACGGCTTCATCTGAACCCAGAATTTTTGACATGAAATATAGATATATATGTAAAAACCTACTAAAATCTTAAGAAATATTAGATATGAACCCATAATTTTAACTGTACATTGAGTTCAATGCAAAGTTGAACCAATTAAATTTAAATTCTGGATCCGCCTCTTGTACTATAATAACTTTAATTGAAAGATTATTTCCTAACAACCTGTAGAGGTACAGAATTTTTTGATAATTGAGATAGAGAAAAGACAAGAGTGGACTGAGTAGAAGAAAAAAGCAAAAGAAAATCCAAAAGTAGAACTAGCATAAGAGGAGGACTTGACAAAAAAATGAAGAAGAAAGAGTCATTTCAAAGGGAAAATAGGAAGCTAAAAAGCAAATCTGAGAACTAGTGAAACAGTAATAGTTAAAGAAGAATTGCTGCAACCCACAGAAGAAGAAGACAACAAAAAATACACTGAAGTATGTCGGGAGAGGAGTCCTAGCACTCACAAGAGAATGCCCTATTTCCTTATCCTCCCTTTACCTATCTCTTAAATCTTTAGGATCAAATTCAAAGAAATGATAGCTTCTCCATTACTTTGTGCCTCGCTGTCTGAAGCGCAGACTTCTTCTGAATCGCTTCATTTAACCCATGATAAGTCCCTCACTTCGCATGCTCAGTCGAAATTACTGTTAATAACTGTGTACATATGATACAGACATACAGTCCATACAACTAAAGTTTCCCCAGTAATCTCACCATGTAGTCTACGTTCATCACTATCTGATTCTATTGAATACATGTCGAAAGAAAAACAGCAAAAAGCACCATGATCATATGCCCAGACATCTCGTCATTGGCATTTCAGCACAGACATAATTATGACTTTCACGAATCTCATTTCTGCATCAAATGATAGATATTACACTTCACAATGCATGTGAGAAAGTGGTTATTGGCATCTACCACAACATAATTAAGTAGAAATTTGTTGATCAACAAGTAGGAAACAGAAAGACCGAATCTAGTTCAGAAAAACCAATAAACTTCAGACAAATCCTTAGTTTACTAATCAGTCAATGTGCTTTCCTTGAGCCATCTAGTTCTTTGTTAATCATCCATTACTATATAAGATCAAGGAATAAATATTATTTCCAAACTAAAACACATGATCCCTTGATATCGAGAAACAACAATTTGAGTTCACCTTTTTTTAGTCCTTTGAAACGACACGTGCTACTCCTTTTCTGAGAATGGGTGCACCGATACTTTTCTTTTTTTTTATAACCGAGAAATCTCTGAGGTCTAGTGGCACACGATTCGAAACTAATGGGTCCGGTTCTCTACCCTTCTCTACTTAAATACCAAGTTTTTGTTTGTGGCAGGGTTCAAACTCGTGACGTGCGTCTATTGTGTAATGGGTGCACGTACCGATACTTTGCACTCATTGACTTACAACAACAACAAACCCAGTGTAATCCCACAAGTGAAATCTGGGGAGGGTAGTGAGTACGCAGACCTTACCCCTAACTTATGAAGATAGAGAGTTTGTTTTAGGTAGACCCGCGGCTCTTTGCACTCATTGACTTAAAATACTGAATTGATTTCTATGTTACTTGATTATGTCATGTACTTTATGTGTATTCTACAAATATTAATGCTAAAAGTTAAAGCTGAAAGTATTTATTTTAAGCTTTTTTACCTTCTGCTCAATCTCAGGAACCTTCAACACTTTCAAATTCACCTCCCTCTTTCTGCAAAACACACAGTTCACCAATTTTCAAAAAAAAAAAAAAAAAAAGCGTAAGATATTGGGGACAAATTGAAATTTTCACACAAAAAAACACGATGAATTAAGAGGTAAGAGAGGAAAATAGCTTACATTTCGCGAACTGTTTGATCGAATACCTTCATGAAATCCATATTGGACCTGCAAATCACAAAATTCGAAAAAAATTGAATTTGAATTCGTAAAATATGTAAATCGAATCTGAAATTTAAAGTTAATGAATTTTTCTAATGACTTTGATAATTTTGGGGAAAATATATTGGGTTGAGAGAAATACGTGAAACAGATGAGACTTTTGTAAATTTTTTTATTAAACTAATACTAATAAAGAGAGAAGCAGCAGAAGAAGACGAAGTTTGTTATCATAATTCGTTATTCCTAAAATTCTTTTGATATTTGTATAATTATTTTAGTAGTAGGTCGCTAGTACATCCGACTACCTGCTTAAAATATTTTTCTCTAATTCTTTTTGTTTTTTTGATTGAAAAACTATTTTAACGTCCCTGAAATCCAGCGATTTGCTTTTAAAATATTTTCTATACTTCCTTAAATTCCAAAATTAGTTTAACAATAGGTCGCCTAGAACTAGGGGGGTGTCAATGAATGTTTAAAAAACAACTAAACCGACCTCGTATCGCACTTAATCGATTTTTAGATTTCTTTTAATAAAATTATAGGGTTTTCTATAAATTTACAATTGTACCGATAATTAGGGTAAGTTCTTTATTTTATAAAAATAAATTAAAAAATATCGAACCGTACCGAATAAATTTACTTATGAAAAATATATTTATATATTGAGTTTAAAAATAATAAAGTACTAAATTTTTTCTTGGGTCTTACATTATGAAAATTGTTACAAGCCAACAAGTAATTAAGATCAAAAACCTAATTCCCAAACATACTATGCTACTCATATTGAAACTAAATTATTTCCAGCATACTCACTAGCAAGAAACAAAGTATTCTAACGATTATGAATAGCAAACTACAATGTATTGAATATGATTCCTTTCGTATGATTTAGATTTATCTTTTTGAATATTTAATCTTTGACGAACTTTATTTTTTAGTCTCAACTTGGTTAATATCTTTCTACTTGTGTGATTTATCCTTTCTTTGTCTTTGCGTGGTTTCTTTTACGCAGTGGTAGAGTAGTTGATTGATCTATGCTATAACCATCTTTCATGTTTTCATAATTTATCATTGTCACGACCCCAATTCACCCTCCCGTAGGATGTCGTAATGGCACCTAGTCTCTAAGACTAGGTAAGCCTAGTAATTTGCGGAATAACATAACAAGAGTCTGAAACTCAAACCTCAATAGCTGAAATAAATAAAAACTGCAATTCAAATAACTACAAAATCCCAAAACCCGGTACAAATAAATCACAATTTTCTAAGAGAAATACTAAGTATCTCTATATATCAGAGTCTACTCAAAATAAGGGAAACAACATGATAGGGATAGAGGGGGACTCCGAGGTCTGTGGACACTGCAGATGTACCTTGAAGTCTCCACATACGACTATCTCACTGGTATTTGGCATGATAGGAAGAACCTGGATCTGCACAAAAAGATGTGCAGAAGAGTAGCATGAGTACACCACAACGGTACCCAGTAAATGTCAAGCCTAACCTCAGTAGAGTAGTGACGAGGTCAAGTCAGGCCGACCCTACTGGAAATAATAGGAAAATAAGGCAGAAGATTTAATAATATAATGAAATGACTGAGAAGTGAACAATGAGAATTTATAGGAAGACAACAACATAGCAAATAGAGGTAAACAACAAGGGCGCTCCCGAGTAACTGCCTCGTAGTACCAAAAGTAAATATGCAAACAGGGAGAATCTCCCGAGTAAATGCCTTGTAGTCCCAAAAGTAAATATGTCATAAGGGATCTCCCGAGGAATCACCTCGTAGTCCCAAAACTAAATATGTGACAGGGGGTAATCCCGAGGAATCACCTCGTAGTCCTAAAAGTAAATATGCAATAGCAGGGGGATCTCCCAAGGAATCGCCTCGTAGTCCCAAAAGTAAATATGCAAACAGAGGGATCTCCCTAGTAAACCCCTTGTAGTCCCAAATGTTAATATATGACAGGGGGTCTCCCGAGGAACCGCCTCGTAGTCCCAAAAGTAAATATGCAGCAGATAACCGAAGAAACAACGAATTTACACCAAGAAATCCTTTAATTAAAGATTTAATTCAAAATCAAGAAAATAAGTAATTCAGCTAAGCATGTTGCACAGGTTGCAAGTAAGAGTTAAGGCACGTAGGCATGCGATATTAGATTAGGCCTGGCAAGTGGGCCGGTCCAGGCCCNGTATATACTATACTATATATACATATTAAGCTATACTATATATACTATACTACATATACATCTTAAGATATATTATATATACATAATATACTAGATATACTAGATATATATAGTAGATATATATGTATATATAGTATATCTTAAGCTATACATATAGTATATAAATCGAATATAGCTTATATATAGTAAGATGTATATATATTATAGTATAGTTTAGTATACATATAAGCTTNATCTTAAGATGTATATATATCTTAAGATGTATATATATATATTAAGATCTACTATACTATACTATATATAAATATAGTATATCTTAAGATGTATATATAGTATATTTTAAGATGTATACTATGTATATATAATATAGTATATATATATTTTAAGATGTATATATAGTGTATAAATCGAATATAGCTTATATATCTTTATTACTATTTTTTTCTCTAACTTCTATAAAAAAAAAAATTAAAATAGAAAGTTCCTGTTGGGCCTGTTTAGGCCCGTTTGGGCCCGGGACCGGACCACTAAACCCGGGCCCGTTAGTTCGTTGTCCCGGTCCCGAGCCGGTTCCAGCAATAAGCCCGCGAGACCCAGGACCGTTTAGGACCGGACCGTATAGGACCGGCCCACTTAGGACCGGGCCCGGCCCACTTGCCACCCCTATATTAGACTAAACATGATAGCTACACATACTAAGGCAACTCAGTTAAGGAATAAAAAGGAGACTACTCAGCAAGAATCGAAATTTCCACATTTAGCCCATGTACGCACTCGTCACCTCGCATACATGGCACTCACATATCACAAAATGTTAAAACAGTATCAAATCCTAAGGGGATTTCCCCCACACATGGTTAAACAAGCCACTTACCTCAAATCTCGCTCAATCAGTCAAGTAGTATGCCTTTCCCTCGATTTTCCAATATCGATCGTCTCGAATATAGCCAAAGCAATTTCATACTATAAATATATCTACAAGAAACTAATTTAAATAATAAAATTACTATTAGACTAAACATGATAGCTACACATACTAAGGCAACTCAGTTAAGGAATAAAAAGGAGACTACTCAGCAAGAATCGAAATTTCCATATTTAGCCCATGTACGCACTCGTCACCTCGCATACATGGCACTCACATATCACAAAATGTTAAAACAGTATCAAATCCTAAGGGAATTTCCCCCACACATGGTTAGACAAGCCACTTACCTCAAATCTCGCTCAATCAGTCAAGTAGTATGCCTTTCCCTCGATTTTCCAATATCGATTGTCTCGAATATAGCCAAAGCAATTTCATACTATAAATATATCTACAAGAAACTAATTTAAATAATAAAATTACGACTTTAGCAAAGAATTGAAAATTCAGCCCAAAAAGTCAAGCATGGAAATATGGAACAGTGGATGCACTGCAGAGAGACTAGGAGGTAGTTCAAGTGTGTATGCCACCTCTCCAACCCTCTCAAGAATCTCAAAAGGCCCTGTATACCTAGGGTTCAACTTGTCCTTCTTCCCGAACCTCATAACACCCTTCATGGGCGAAACGCGGAGCAAGACCCTCTCCCCAACCATGAATGCAACGTGGCGAACCTTCCGATCCACATAACTCTTATGTCTAGACTGAGTTTTACGAAGTCGATACTGAATCAATTTAACCTTTTCCAAAGCATCCTGAACCAAATCTGTACCCAATAGTCTAGCCTCATCCGGATCAAACCAACCCACTGGAGACCGGCACCGCCTACCATAAAAGGCCTCATGCGGTTCCATATGAATGATTGACTGATAACTGTTGTTGTAAGAAAACTCCGCAAGTGACAAAAACTGATCTCAAGCACCCCCAAAATCTATCACACACGCACGAAGCATATCCCCCAATATCGGAATAGTGCGCTCAGAAGTGTAAGTAGTAACCACGGGAATGAAATGAGCTTAATTAGTCAATCTATCCACAATCACCCAAACTGCATCGAACTTCCTCTGATTCTATGGGAGCCCAACAACAAAATCCATAGTGATCCGCTCCCATTTTCACTCTGAAATCTCTAACTTATGAAGCAACCCACCCGGTCGTTGATGCTCATACTTCACTTGCTGACAATTTAGGCACCAGGAAACATACTCCACTATGTCTTTCTTCATCTGTCTCCACCAATAGTGCTGCCTCAAATACTGATACATCTTCGCGACACCTAGATGAATGGAGTACCGCGAACTGTGAGCCTCCTGGAGAATAAACTCAGGTAATCCATCTAAATTAGGCACACAAAGCCTGTCATGCATCCATAATACATCGTCATCTCCAATAGTGACTTCCTTGGCATCACTGTACTGAACCATGTCTTTAAGACAAACATATGAGGGTCATCATACTGACGCTCTCTGATACGATCATAAAGAGAAGACTGAGAAACCACACAAGCCAAAACTCGGCTTAGAAACATCCAATCTAGCGAACTGGTTGGCCAAGGCTTGGACATCCAACGCTAAAGGCCTCTCTGCTACCGGTAGATATGCTAAGCTGCCCAAACTCTATGCCTTGCGACTCAGGGCGTCGGCCACTGCATTGGACTTCCCGGGAAGATAAAGAATGGTGATGTCATAATCCTTAAGGAACTTCAACCATCTCCGCTGCCGCAAATTAAGATCTTTCTGCTTAAACAAATGTTGTAGGCTCTGGTGATCGATGTAGACCTCACAAGGGACACCATATAAATAGTGCCGCCAGATCTTCAAGGCATGAACAATAGCTGCTAACTCGAGGTCGTGGACAGGATATTTCTTCTCATGCACCTTCAGTTGTCTAGACGCATAGGCAATCACCCTATCGTCCTGCATCAACACTATGCCAAGACCAATGCGCGACGCATCACAATACACCATATATGATCCTGAACCTGTAGGCAATACCAACACTGGTGTTGTAGTCAAAGCAGTCTTGAGCTTTTGAAAGCTCTCGTCACACTCCTCGGTCCATGTGAACGAAGTACCTTTCTGGGTCAGTCTAGTCATAGGTGCTGCAATAGAT